CCCCCCCCAGCCACTCAGGGAAATTGGAGCTTTTCCAGACAGGGCCCTCTTTAAAATTGGCTGGCTGTCAGTCTGTTTTTGTGTGTGTGTGTGTGTGCGTGCATTTAAAAGTTGTGTTGAAAGAAAGAGAGCTGCAGCCGATCTGCAACAGGATCGTAGAGGATGAGTTATTAAAAAAAAACATCCATTTTTTTTGTCTCGGACGGTCACTAGCCGAGCAGAGCAAGACCCTTGGACAGGATTTGGACAGAGTTTTCTGGGCAAGACAGGAACAAGCTGATGGGTGAGAAGAGTTAATTGGCTGCAGAGCGGAGCTTTCCGAGAAATGCACCCGAACTGCACAAATGACCTCACCAGTGGTGGGAAAAGCGGCTCTCCAGCCTCCAATTAATCTCGGTGGCTTCTCTCCTGGATGAGTTTCCATCCGTTGCTTCTGGTCCCACCCTCAGAGGCTTTGCAGAAGAGGTGGACCCCCCCCCCTCTTCTCAGGGACTGCCCCAAAGAAGAGGGAGTCAAGCTACTCTCCAAGGTGCCTGAAGGCCGGACAAGAAGCAACGGATGGAAACTCATCAAGGAGAGAAGCAACCTAGAACTAAGGAGAAACTTCCTGACAGTGGGAACAATTAACCAGTGGAACCACCTGCCTCCAGAAGCGGTGAATGCTCCAACACTGGAAGTTTTTAAGAAGAGACTGGACAGCCCTTTGTCCGAAATGGGATAGGGTTTCCTGCCTGAGCAGGGGGTTGGACTAGAAGACCTCCAAGGTCCCTTTCTATTCTATTCCATTCCATTCCATTCCATTCTATTCCCTATTCTGTTCTGTTCTGTTCTATTCTATATTCCAATATGTATTCTATTCTATTCTATTCTATTCTATTCTATTCTATTCTATTCTATTCTATTCTATTCTATTCTATTCCATATTTTCTATTCTATTCTATTCTATTCTATTCTATTCTATTCTATTCTATTCTATTCTATTCTATTCTATTCTATTCCATCCATTCCATATTTTCTATTCTATTCTATTCTATTCTATTCTATTCTATTCTATTCTATTCTATTCTATTCTATTCTAGACTTTATAGAATAGAACAGTGAGGGCGAACCTTTTAGAGACTCATTGCCCAAATTGCAACCCAAAACCCACTTTTATATCGTTGTCTGCCGGGTGGGCATGGCCCATTGGATGGGTGTGGCCAACTGGGTGGGCGTGGCCCATTGGGTGGGCGTGGCTGCCGTGGTAACGGCAGACTGGGTGGGACTAAAAAGCTTGTTCAATCAATTCCAACTTTGCGAGATCTTTTTGTTACCCCCGCAAGAAGTTGAAATTAGAATGAGAGAATTGGAAGAGACCTTATAGGTCATCTAGTCCAACCCCCTGCACCATTTCTGACAGATGGCAGTCCAGTCTCTTCTTGAAAGCTTCCAGCGATGAAGCTCCCACAACCTCTGAAGGCAACTCCTGTTCCATCGGTTGATTGTTCTCACTGTCAGAAAATTCCTCCTCATTTCCAGGTTGAATCTCTCATCAGTTTCCATCCGTTCTTCCTTGTCTGGCATTCAGGTGCTTTGGAAGACAGGTTGACCCCCCCTCCTCTCTGTGAAACCCCCCCTCAAATATTGGAGCACTGCTATCACATCTCCCCTGGTCCTTCTCTTTCCTAGACGAGCCATGCCCGGTTCCTGCAAGATGGCAGCCGCCTCCAAGCGGTTGTAGCCCCACCCCTTTAAGAGGGGAGTTTGACCACCAGGTTGCAGCTGCCCTCTTGAAGTAAAGCCCACCCATCGTAACCTCCTACCTGATGCAACCGATAAGGGGGAGAAAGGTGGCTACTGATTTAATCCTGGGTTGATTTTGTCTTAAGGCTGTCAAAGAGTCGGCCGGAGGAACCGAGCACGAGGTCCAGATTTTGGAGACACAGGAAGGGATGGAAGAGAAGGAGGAAAGCTGCCCCATGGCTCAAGTGTCTCCCCAACCCAAGGCCAACTTCAGCTCACCATCGCCGTCCAGCCCCAGGACCTCGCTGTACCCCCAACGTCACGCGGATCCGTACGACTCCAGGAAGTATTTTGTAACACGCGTGAGTCAACTCAACCACTGTGGGGGGATCTTCATGGGGTTGGCAAGGGGGGGAGGTAGGGTCATGACCTGGCTGTCACTGGGGTGGCCTCTTGAGTAAAGACCCAAGATCTGGATAGACTCAGGAAGGGACAAGAAGCACGTCTGAAATATGCAACTCTGGGTCCTTCTCCAGGTGGGCCCTACCTTCCCTGTTCCACGCCCCAGATGCAGGATTTGGGCTTTGGGTCCAGTTGTAATGAACACCATTGGAGGTTAAGGAGACCCCAGTTTGCACTCCTGCTTGAGGAGGAATCCAAGAGACCTCATTTCTTTGGGGGTGACAGTATTCTGGAGAAGACAATCAAGCAACGAATCAGCGAACACCTAGAGGCCAACAAAGTCCTTACCCAAAGCCAACATGGGTTTGTCAAAAACAGATCATGCCGGACAAATCTTATTGCATTCTTTGACCAGTTGACAAAATTAGTGGATCAGAGGAATGCTGTGGATATAGTTTACCTGGATTTCAGTAAGGCATTTGATAAAGTAGACCACAACCTACTACTCGATAAGATAGAAAAATGTGGGGTAGACAGCATCACCACCAGATGGATCCGTAGCTGGCTGACCGGCCGTACTCAACGTGTGGTCCTCAATAGAACCACATCTACATGGAGGGAAGTGTGCAGTGGGGTGCCCCAGGGCTCTGTTCTGGGCCCAGTGCTCTTCAACATCTTCATCAACGATCTGGACGAGGGGATAGATGGGGAACTCATCAAATTTGCAGATGACACCAAGCTGGCAGGAACAGCCAACACTCCAGAAGTTACAGGCTTAGGATACAGGAGGATCTGGACAGACGTGAACACTGGGCGCTATCTAAGAAAATGAAATTCAATGGTGAAGAAGTAAGGTTCTACATTTAGGCAAGAAAAACCAAATGTACAGATATAGTATAGGGGGTACCTTGCTCAACAGTAGCAACTGTGAGAGGGATCTAGGAGTCCTAGTGGACAATCCCTTAAATAGGAGCCAGCCGTGTGCTGCAGCTGCCAAAAAGGCCAACACAGTGCTGGGCTGCATTAACAGAGGGAGAGAATCAAGATCCTGTGAAGTGTTAATACCACTTTACAAGGCCTTGGTAAGGCCACACTTGGAATCTTGCATCCAGTTTTGGTCACCACGATGTAAAAAAGATGTTGAGACTCTGGAAAGATTGCAGAGAAGAGCAACAAAGATGATCAGGGGACTGGAGGCTAAAACATACAAGGAACGGTTGCTGGAATTGGGTATATCTAGTTTAATGAAAAGAAGGGTTAAGGGGGACAGGATAACAGCATTCCAATATTTGGGGGGCTGCCCCAAAGAAGGGGGGGTGTCCAGCTATTCTCCAAAGCACCTGAAGGCAGGACGAGAAGCAACGGGTGGAAACTGATCAAGGAGAGAAGCAACCTAGAACTAAGGAGAAACTTCCTGGCAGTGAGAATGATAAACCAGTGGAACTGCTTGCCACCAGAAGTTGTGGATGCTCCAACCCTGGAGGCTTTTAAGAAGAGACTGGACAGCCATTTGCCTGGAATGATGTAGGGTCTCCTGCCTGAGCAGGTGGTTGGACTAGAAGACCTCCAAGGTCCCTTCCAAACTTAGTATTCTATGTTCTAACGAAGAAAAGAGATGAATTTCTTCAAGGGGGGGAAGCACATGGTGGGAACCCCAGCACTGTCTCAACCCCAGATCTACACACAGGACGTGTGAATGCGTAGGAGCTGGGGTCCACGGGCAACCCGAAAGGTGGTAAACGTAGTACTTGCAAATTTACCCTCTTCTCAAAGTTGGTCTCGGAGGAGCGGGATGCCCCTCAAGGACTTATGGATTTGATCTTCATCAGCAGGAGATAAGCCACCTTCGTCAGAGATGGAAGCCTGGAGATTCGGCTTTCATTTCTGGGTGGTGTTCACTCCCCCACGGCAGGTGGTTAGAGACAGGTGGGAACCCCCAGGAGGCTGGAGGGACAGGTGAGGGGACGTAGGAGGAACTCCAAACCGGCTTGTGGCTTTTACCATCTTCCTCTTCCTCCTCCCCATTTTTAGCCGGGAGCCTTCGATCAAGCCATGGAGGACCTCAAAGCCCATCTGGCAGCCAGCAAAGGAGAGGCGGCGCGCAGCTTCTGGCTACTCACTGAGTAAGCACCACGGAGGTCTTGTAGTTGTTTGTGCTTCTCTGCAGCCCCAGAGTGGTTTACGCTAAATCCAGCCCAATTCAGGGGATTCTCAAGTTACGACCGTTATCGAGGTTGGCAAACACGGTCATAACTCAACGACGGATGTCAAGCGCAAAAGACACGGCCAGAAACCCATTTTACGGCCTTTTCTGCGACGGTCATAAAGCGAACGTGGCGGTCGTTAAGGGAAACCCACTGTTGGCTATGGGCCGGTTTTTGGGAGAGGCTGGTAGTCAAGACAGATTTCCTCCCCAAAAACGTCCAAATAAAGCAAAGTCACGTGGTGGTAGAGCAGTGGTTCTCAACCTGTGGGTCGGGACCCCATTTGGGGTCGATCGACCATTTCACGGGGGTCGCCAAGCAAGGCTGTCCGCCATTTTTTTTGTCCGCGTAAAAAAAACAGGCGGTAAAAAAGGGGGAAAAGGCCGCCCACGGAATGGAGGGAACCCGACCCGGTCGACCACCAGCCGGACGAGGCAGAGACGCGCTTGCCAGCTACGCCTCGGCCGGCGCAGGGGGCGGAACCACGCATGCGCGGCGCTCCCGGGCAGGGAAAGTCCTCGACTTACGACCGGTTGGGTAGTCCTCGGCTTACGACCGGTTTAGTCCTCGACTTACGACCGGTTTAGTCCTCGACTTACGACCGGGTTAGTCCTTGACTTACGACCGGTTGGGGTCGCGGCATTAAAAAGGTTGAGAACCACTGCAGTAGAGCTTTAAATGCCGGCTGGTTGTTGAGTTTGCAACAGTGGCGCATATAATAATAATCTTAATAATAATCTTAATAATAATAATAGTAATAATAATCTTAATAATAATAATAGTAATAATAATCTTAATAATAATAATCTTAATAATAATAATAATAATAATAATAATAGTAATAGTAATAATAATAACAACAATAATGATAGTGATGATGATGATATTGGAAGGGACCTTGGAGGTCATCTAGTCCAACCCCCTGCTCAAGCAGGAAACCCTACACCATTTCGGACAAATGGCTGTCCAGTCTCTTCTTAAAAACCTCCAGTGTTGGAGCATTCACCACTTCTGGAGGCAGGTGGTTCCACTGGTTAATTGTTCCAACTGTCAGGAAGTTTCTCCTTAGTTCTAGGTTGCTTCTCTCCTTGATGAGTTTCTCCATCCGTTGCTTCTTGTCCTGCCTTCAGGCGCCTTGGAGAATAGCTTGACTCCCTCTTCTTTGGGGCAGCCCCTGAGATGCTGGAAGGCTGCTATCCTGTCACCCCTCGTCCTTCTCTTCGTTAAACTGGACCTACCCAATTCCAGCAGCCGTTCCTTAAATGGCAAGTGGATTAAGAATATGATAGGAATGGTACCCTATCTTGATTGTCCCAACAGTGCTTTTTCAAAAAGACTGCTGGACTTTTGGGCTGCCCCAAAGAAGAGGGAGTCAAGCCATTCTCCAAAGCGCCCGAAGGCAGGACAAGAAGCAACGGGTGGAAACTCATCAAGGAGAGAAGCAACCTAGAACTAAGGAGAAACTTCCTGACAGTGAGAACAATTAACCAGTGGAACCACCTGCCTCCAGAAGCTGTGAATGCTCCAACACTGGACGTTTTTAAGAAGAGCCTGGACAGCCACTTGTCTGAAATGGGATAGGGTTTCCTGCCTGAGTATAGGGGGTTGGACTAGATGACCTCCAAGGTCCCTTCCAGCTTTATTGTTATTGTTATTGAAGTGTTTTCAAGGAAAGAAAACAAGCAAGGAAGTCCAGTTGCCTTTTCAAAAAAAAAAAAAAAAAGCACCTTTGGGACAATCATGACCTGGAGGATGGAGCGTCTCCATAGATACCCCATCTTGATTGCAGTGATACACACAAACACACACAAAGATACACAAACCTGCTTTATTCAGCTTGTAAATCGCCCGGGGGTGGGTGGAATGGGTGATTCATTGAATTCCAGTTTTACAGTCTTCCTTCCCGCTCTCCCTTTAATGGGTCTCTTCCCGCTTCTCTCCTTTACTCCAGAATTAAATTCTGCATTCTTTGGGGAATGTTTGTTTGTTGTGATGAATGTATGTATCCTAATCGTCCCTAAAAGAAATTCCTTCGGCTCAGTAGCAAATATTTCAAATTGAATTTGAACATTTTGCCTTCTCTAGGGGCTGCTTCGGAAGGGCCCAAAATAGTCGTTTCTGCTGGCTTGGCAGAAATTATTTAATTGTCAACTCTCCCGCAAACTCAGACATTATTATATATAACAGGAGAAATTTGACTTAATAAAGTTTCTGGCAGAGTGAAGAGCACAGATTTATGCTCCTGTACTGCCACCCGGAGGACACAAAGAGAACTGCAGCTTAGCTCCTTTTTCAATTGTGCTTCCTGTTTGGGGGGGCAAGCGTGGACTTCAACTCCCAGAATTCCCAGGCTGGCTGGGGAATTCTGGGAGTTGAAGTCCACGCGTCTGAAAGCTGCTGAGGTAGGTTGGAAAAGCCTGCTCTACAGCTGATAAATTCAAAATAACTTTTCAACTAGAAAAGGCCCCAAATCCTTTCCAACTCTTCGGTTATAATAAAAAAAAATATATGGGGATTTCCACGTCTTTTGTTATTCCTGGCCCTTGACGAGGATTGCACAATGGTTGGAAACTAACCGAGAGATCAAAACCTAGGACTAAGGAGACACTTCCTAATGGTGAGAGCAGTTAACCTGTGGAACAGCCTGCCTCCAGAAGTTGTGGGTGCTCCCACATTGGAGGTTTTTAAGAAGAGATGGGACAGCCATTTGTCAAAAAATGGTATGGGGTCTCCTGCCTGAACAGGGGGTTGGACTAGATGACCTCCAAGGCCCCTTCCAACTCTGTTATTCCATTATTCTGCATTCAGTTGAAGCTCCACCTGGTTTTTAATGTGCAGTACAGGCAAAATTAGGTGGAGCTTCAATTCGATCCTTGCAATCGTCAGGTTGACTTTTTTTGACCCTTGGGTGGCTGCACTAATCCCTGGGCTAAATTCCCATAAGGCAGGGAAGCCCGAGTTTATCACTTATCGGACTTTAAATGCATTAGATCATGTTTCCATCCATGGATCCCCTAAAGAATGAACTTCCAACTTTGTTATTCTATGTTCTATGTTGTAAATCTGCTCAGAATCAGAATAGACCTGGAAGGGACCTTGAAAGGTCATCTAATCCAGCCCCCTGCTCAAGAATAGAATAGAATAGAATAGAATAGAATAGAATAGAATAGAATAGAATAGAATAGAATAGAGAAAAGGAATAGAATAGAGAAAAGGAATAGAATAGAATAAAGAATAGAGTAGAATAGAATAGAATAGAATAGAAGAGAGAAAAGGAATAGAATAGAATAAAGAATAGAGTAGAATAGAATAGAATAGAATAGAAGAGAGAAAAGGAATAGAATAGAATAGAATAGAATAGAATAGAATAGAATAGAATAGAATAGAATAGAATAGAATAGGACCTTGGAGGTCTTCTAGTCCAACCCCCTGCTCAGGCAGGAAACCCTATACAATTTCCGACAAATGGCTGTCCAGTTTCTTCTTAAAAACCTCCAGTGATGGAACACCCACAACTTCTTGTGGCAAGCAGTTCCACTAGTTAATTGTTCTCATTGTCAGGAAATTCTTTCTTAGTTCCAGGTTGCTTCTCTCCTTGATTAGTTTCCATCCGTTCTTTCTTGTCCTGCCTTCAGGGGCTTTGGAGAATAAGTTGTCCCCCTCTTCTTTGGGGCAGCCCCCCAAATATTGGAAGGCTGCTATCATGTCCCCCCTAGTCCTTCTTTTCTCTAGACTGGCCAAACCCAAAATCTGACGCCGTTCTTCAAAGGTTTTATTTGCTTTCTCCTGGGCAGAAATTGGGGATCCAAGTTGCCCAGAATCTCCTTGCTATTTGCCCTTCCTGTGCTTCCTTCCCAGGATCGATCACTGGAATGTCGAGAAGGAACGGATCGTGATGCTCACTGACGCTGCCCTCCTGGTGTGCAAATATGACTTCATCATGCTCAAATGCCTGGATCTCCAAAGGATCCCTCTGCGCTACATCGAGAGGATCTCTACGGGACCCTTCGCTTTTCCAGAGAAGTCTTTGGACAGGTGAGGCTGCGCGGCTCATCAATGGGGAGGGAAGGGATCTAGTAGCTTTCCAAGGGGGGGTGCATTTCAACCACCGACATGAACACCATGGAAACCCCACGTTGATTGCTGACTGGGTAGGATCTCCTGGGGGGGGGAAGTCGAGAGGGTGTTTGGGTGCAATCCCAAAAATGCTTTTCCAAAAGGTAACTGGATGTTTTTCATTAGGCAAGACAAAACAAATGCACAGGTGTAGTATAGCGGGTACCTTGCTCAATAGTAGTAACTGTGAGAGGGACCTCGGAGTCCTAGTGGACCATCCCTTAAATAGGAGCCAGCCATGTGCTGCAGCTGCCAAAAAGGCCAACACAGTGCTGGGCTGCATTAACAGAGGGAGAGAATCAAGATCAAGTGAAGTATTAATACCACTTTACAAGGCCTTGGTAAGGCCACACTTGGAATACGGCATCCAGTTTTGGTCACCACAATGTACAAAAGATGCAGAAACTCTAGAAAGAGTGCAGAGAAGAGCAACAAAGATGATCAGGGGACTGGAAGCTAAAACGTGTGAAGAACGGTTTGCGGGAATTGGGAATGTCTAGTTTAATGAAAAGAAGGACGAGGGGGGACAGGATAGCAGTGTTCCAGTATCTCAGGGGCTGCCCCCAAGGAAGAGGGAGTCAAGCTCTTCTCCAAAGCGCCTGAAGGCAGGACAAGAAGGAACGGATGGAAACTAACCAAGGAGAGAAGCAACCTAGAACTAAGGAGAAACTTCCTGACAGTGAGGACAATTAACCAGTGGAACAACCTGCCTCCAGAAGCGGTGAATGCTCCAACACTGGAGATTTTTAAGAAGAGACTGGACAGCCATTTGTCCGAAATGATGTAGGGTTTCCTGCCTGAGCAGGGGGCTGGACTAGATGACCTCCAACCCTGTTATTCTGAGTTGAAGGCAGGCAGGTGGCCGGGAAATCCCCTGGTGGGTTTTCCCTCCATCCTTCAGCAGGT